CATCAGGTGAGTGAGTCCACGGAGAGAGACAGAGAGTGCCCACGTTCAACATTTATTTATCTGTATCTGCTTTCTACACAGCGGCGTCCTACACAAACCTCAGCACTAACAATAACGTCATCACACGGATTTTGGATAGTCCATCGATCGGTGCATTGTGTACCGCACGGTGCATCAAAAGTGCTACCTTTGCACGTGTGTGTGCGTCGCTCGATTTCTACCGTACAAAAGTCAAGAATCGCTGCGCGTGCGCATCATCATCTCTTCTCAGCGAATCCTCCTGCTCGTTTTCGAAAGTCGGTGCAAGGCGTGTGGTCGCTTGTCACGCACGCCTGACGAACATGTGCTTACTGCACGGACGATGACCTTGAGCGCATGCGGGTTAGGATCTGATGCACGAGGGAGAGAGACAAGAACGACAGCAGCAGTGGGTCGATCTTCGCCTAGAACCTCTTTGTTTCCCTACAATGCACCCATCAAATGCACATCATATATCCAAAAACGGCTTGCTATATGTTCTGTAAAATACGCGCGGTTCTATGCATGTGCGCATGTAGTATCATTATCTAGGCACGAGGAAGGAACCTTCCTAACGACTATGTGATGAGTGGACAGTGCGAACGAACGTGGCAATAATTCTGGTATTTAGGGAAGTTTAAGAGGTTTTGTGTGCATGTTCATCCCAGAGAATGTGCACGAACGGCGCGCGGTATGTGATAGATTGGTTACACGTTTTCGGCAAGGAATACGTTCCGTCGCAGAGATGCTGATCATCGTTTTCAATCATGAACAAGAAGGGTTACGCCGGACGGGGATTTCTTTGTAATTCCAAAGACGACGTCTGTCCAGACGCAGGGGGGGGGCTGCATAACAAGACAAAGTTGCACAGTGACGCACAGCCGCGCCGCGGCAGCGATTCTCAGGAAGCACAGCCACGCACAGCCACGCCGCGGCAGCGATTCCCTGAATGAGGGTACATAGTCTAATATTTTTTGTCAGCACACGCAAAGAAACGGTTGATCTGTAGCAGTGGTCCGCCTCTCTCTCTCTGTATTTCATCAAAAAAGAACAGAAGGAACGAACGAAGTTTTCTGGAGGTAAAAACTGATGCAGGTACTCTCTATTATATATCAGGTGGCGAGACGCAACAACACAGCAGCAGCAGTCAGTCCAGACCACGAGCGCCTCCAGAAAAATATAATCGTGATCCCATCCATGCACAAAGAGTTTTTGCTGCAACACGTGTGGTAGGAAAAACATATACAAACACAGACTATACACATATTGCTGTGTATGTGCCCGTTCGAGATATATATTATGTACACGGGTCGACGAACGGGCCTGTCGGTCTGTGGAAAGGCTGAAGGAAAAGGCATGGACGCTGGACCGACGAGGCCAACGGGAAGAAGTCGGCAGCATTTCGTCATCATCATCAGGCAATAAATAATCGATCCATTTCACAGATAGATATACGTTGATAGGATTGCATTCCAACAATCATTCATTGTCGTGAAATGTTCGCACTTACTTTCCGCCTGCGATAACTAACTGAGTTTCTCAACGGGTACCACCACTTGATTGAGACGACACAGACAGCTAGTACTATACCACGCCGTTTTGTCGCAGAACGACACAGCGTGACGACAAAAGTTCGATTTTTTATTGACGTTGTGCGGTGGAAGAAAAAAAAAATCGACCACACATATTATGCATACGTGTGCGTTAAGGCACACCATCCACCCACTGCATGCAGCACTCACTGCAGAATGAATCACGGTCCGCATCTAAACATTGTTATAAATATCTTCATCCGCTATTTTTGTCTATTTTCCAGGACTGACACCGGATGTCAGATCACCCTGTACAACACTGGCTATTTACTTATTTATCTGACACCGGGGAACGTTGTTTCAGCGTTTAGACATACATCCCGCTCCTCGGGGTGCAAGCTTTCGCACTACACGGACGGACGTCGGTGCCGAGTGCCGAACAGATAGATAGTACTCGGAGTAGTAGGTGTAAAAGTTTAAACGTATTATACATGTATGTATGTACTACATAAATGCCATGTCGATGTACTCTAGGTCCTCGCTGCGATGATGATGAAGATGAACCAACCTGTGGTTTGATGTACTACATACCGCAGGAGGTAGTAGGTGGGGACAAAAGAAGAAAAGAGAAGAAAAAAACCCGGCGTGGTGGGTACCCCCTCCTGTGTGACCCCGCACGGTACGTCTAGCTAATTGTAGGCTGAGAAGTGTAAGTGCTGCACATACGCGGCGAACGTGTAGTGTGCATCGACGAGGAGAGAAAGCAGGCGGCGCCAGAGATGGGACGAAAAAAACAGAAAAAAACAAAAGTAAGTATATGCAGCAGCAGCCGATGATGACTCTTCCAACAAATGCACCCGCTAAGAGACCAGTTGTAAGCACAGTGCCCAACGGGATATATATCTACGATATATATCTATCTTCTTTCGACTACATATATACCCAACAATTCACGCAGCTCGCCCGTCGGTGGCACACACTTTCTTCTTCCTCCTCCTTGCCAAATCTCACGAAAGAAGACCGCTTCCTCCCCGGGTATTAATACAACTACGACCGGGGTCTGTCTCCTCCTTGAAATGATGAGCGTATATTATGTGACGTCAGCCCGTGCACTTCGTATTTCTCGAAAGATTTCATCGTTTTAGAGAGGACAAAAAACTTACTGGAAAGACTTCACCACATCCCTGTCGACTGAGGTTATATCTCGAACGGGTATATATAGTCTTGGCCATGTTTACTTTCTAAAACACTCGAACGGGCGCGGACGGGTAGTCTTTCTGTGGGATTGATTACGTGTGTTCTAATTAGCTATTATCAAGACTGGTTGCTGCTGCTTGTAGACTGTGTATCTAGCTATAATGGCAGGCTCAAGCTGTGCTGCTCGGAGAACATTTTTTTAGCAGTATATAGCAGCCAAGCCGTAACAAACAAACATAGTCTGTACCAGCAGGACAACCCCCTTTTCTTGAATTTTTTTAATAATCCAGAAATATCCGTGCTCATCATCACTTGTATTGTATTAATGATGTTACATACATATATACACATACATACAGAGAAAAACACGATAATATAACAACTTTTCTCTATCGACAGGTCAGATATTCTTATCATGGCGACCTAGACTTAATTATGAAGAAACCGTTCAACTCTCTCTTGCTTCTAGGTATGATATGCCTTGTTTCGGAACGCTGAGGGAGTGGCTACAAAATATCCTCGCCCCAATCAATCCGAACGGGTCCACTTCTCTTGCGAACCTCAGTCAAGACGTCCACATGCAGACTATGTAGGACTCTGCTGCAACGACCCGAAAGATTCTCACGAACATCATACCACGAGTTTTCAGCCCACTTGTTCGTCTTCTACTTCCTCCATCGCTTGATTAGTGAACTAAAAAACGAGGGTCGAAAGACACCACGATCCCCAGTAGATATGTCGCATACTACCACGTCGCGAGCGAGAGAAACGAGGTGTTGCTCTTGCCGTCCTAGGCCGCTTATTTACAGTGCCCATGGTTTGTGAATACAATCAATCGTCTATTACACCCGAAATTCCACGTAACGCCCTTCGACAGGAAGGTCATTAGAGTAGTGTCTCGATCAGAAGGTATCCCGGTAACGAGGTTCCTGTAGTGTCATCACCGTTCGCTGTGGACATATACAGTTCGAAACCGGACACGTTGCTCATAATCATTTCGCAGACTGAGAGGTTGAAGTATGAGCCGCATCTCGCACAACGGCCTGCATGTTCGTCTTCGACGTGGTGATGAGCCACGGTTGGCTGGATGATGTCGGGGTTGCGCCAGGCCTTGATATCTCCTCCAATTCAAGGCGACCTGCTGGATGTTGGCAATCTGCGCGTTCGGCAGCGCCGTCGTCTACACGTATCTACCATCTCCGTTTCGCCCACCTCGCCGCCCTCCATATCGGCGTGCGCACCAGAAGCGCCCTGCTTCGGCCCAGGTGAATCCACGCCCTGGTGAGTATTGATGCCGTCGATCACCGGCTGCAGCTGTTGGGTGGCGCCATCCCGGTTCGCGATCGCGTCGGGCAAGTGTAGTCGATTACCTCGTTTCGGCGAAACTCGGTCGGTGATGACTGCACTGTCGATTCCGCGGTCACCTCCGGTCCGCGGAGAAGACCGTGCACGCGACGGGTGCCCCGCTCACCGATCAAGATTTTTCGACCTAGCGACCGTGATTCTCTCTCCTCAGACGCACAGGCGTGCAAATGCGGATTTTGGCCTCTCCCACACGTTGTCATCGACATACGTTCATAGTTGCGCACATATATACGTACCACTCAGTGACGTGCCCACGATATGGTACGCCTGACGTCTCTCTTCTCCCATCTGCCCGCTGGCCATGCCCGAGGCGATTCCTCATGGGATAGGACCCCGGGTTCTCAGCATAGATCAGGTTCTAAGTGACACCGCACAGCAAATGAATCAAAAGACCCTCAAGCGGCGTCTCGTGACCCCGGCCAACCACGAGAAGCCTCTTGTGCATCACCGAGCTCCTTGTGTTTGCGCAGCTCTCTCGGGCACGTTAGACTCTCTGCTTGAATACAAAACTTCGACAGAGTGGTCGACTTCAACTCTTTTCTCGCTCGGGGGGCCAGTACTACTGTACGTTACACGCTTCCCTGCATAAAAAAAAACGCCATCATAGCACCTTCGAATGATGCAATGAACAACGGTTTGTTTGTCCCCTTCGCCTTCACCTGGCCCACTCTTTGCCTCCATGAGTACCCGGTAACCGGCTAGCGGAAAGGTTAGCTGGTGATGACAATGCGGGAGGAAACACTGCCTACTACGTTGAGAGCACGACTCATTCGACCCCCCGACCACTGCCAACTTCATCATTCGCCCTTGCCCCCACACCCAAAACTGAAAAACAAGGTCCTACTCGCCGAGACGACGACGCAACCAACCAACATCGGCCACGGCAACATGGCGGTTACGGCTAACCTTCGACGTCAGCAACAGCAGCCATACCAGGAGACAGCGAAACCGGTCAGTAAAAACTCCCCCGTCACCGGCGCCGCCGCGGCCACCGCCGCGCGCCTTGCCACGGCAGCCCTCGCCCTCACCGCCGCTAGCGCGGCCACCTACGAGGTGTCTCCTGATGGCGATCCCATGACGCTCACCGCAGCGCTAGAGGTGGCCGGTGCAGGCGACACCATATCATTGGGGGACGGGATCTACCGCGAGCCGCTCGTGACCATGAAGGCCGGTGTGGAGGGTAATCCTCTCGTGATCGAGGGTGGCAGAGACGCGGTCGTCAACTACTACACCGGCGATAAGAGTATCATGTGGTCCCAGAAGGTCGTCGACATTCGCCACTCGTGGGTCACTCTGCGGGTGAGAGGCAAAGACATAAATAATAGTAGAGAAGAATAGAGACAGGACGTGTGGGTGAGGGCATGCGTGTTGTGGACCGCACGATGTTCAGCACACCTGCTGCCAGAACGTCTTCCAAGGCTAGGTCGTAGCCTGGCCGCAGCCGTTTCAATTCCTCTGCGGGAATCGACTGGTTCTCCGGTAGGAGGTGTTCAGGAAGAAACACCCGTATTGGAACAATTTCCGTCGGAGGTCTTGGCGCGCAAACGCGAAGGGTTCCATGATCCTCCACCTGAATAGGTGCTCGTCCCAACGATACCAGTAACTCTCAGGAATCGCTCGGGGTTGGGTGCACGCATGTTTTTGTTCTGTTTGTTAGGCCAACGCAAACGCCCACAAAAAGCGGACCCGCCGCCGAAATCGATAGCCCCCCAGCAAACTTGGAATTCCGCCTTTGAGACAATTCCTGTAAGTTCTTGGAGAAAGGACATAACGATCTGTTCGTACTCTTCCTTGTTTTGCGGGGGAGAAGACATACCCATTTAGCTCTGTTACGGCGCAGTGCATGGCATGATGGCACCAGCATAGCATCGAGCAGATGTCTATCGCATACGTACCGAATACGTAATTGTTTCACGAGCACTTACCGCACTGTCTTCATGTCGATACATTTGGTGGCTTGTGGTGGTTTTCGACATTTGGCGAATACCAGTACAGCGTTCATGATGTACATACGATGCAGCGATTTTTCCCGCTTCGCATCGTAAGAGCGGGCAGATCATGCTTCCATTCCTCACACCAATGCTCGAAATTCAAGCAAAGAGCTCATATCACGTGGGGTGCGTATCTTGTTGCCCCTTCCAACCAGGGGTTTACCATCGACGGTCAGATAGACGACGCCGATCACGAAGATTCGTTCGTGGACAAGTGTATCTTCGTGGAGGGTCAGGCCGCGCCCGAGGACGTCGAGTACGACGGTCGCACTGTTGAGACCGCCTTGATTGGCACGGTGATCGACAGCATGAAAATCCAGAACTGCGGGTGCGTGCTTGCGTGCGTATTGCACTCAGAGGGGGGTTGGCACTCACCGGTAATTTTACAAACATGACCAGTGCAATACTCGTGGGTAGTGAAGCCTTCGTGCTTGTTGTTCTTGTTCTTGCCCTCCTTCCGTTACTGCGGCGGCTGTGTGTGCGCGTTTGTTCTTTTTGGCATGCTCTCGGTTGGATGACTTGCGAAACGTGAGCTACGTACCCAGTAACCACACCAACCATCTTGCAGGATGGAGTGCATCCGCATGAGGAACTTCGTCACCAACACTGTGATCATCGACAACGACATAGAAGACTGCGGCATCTACGACTACCGGTACACGTTCGATGGAAAAGTCGGCGAAGCAATCTACATCGGAACGTCCAGCAACCAGTGGGCCGACGGTGCAGACGGGAGGGTGACGCATGGCCCTGACGGATGCAACTACAACCTGTGAGTGACCTATGCGAGTGACTCTCGTTGGAGGTCATTTTTTCTTGATTTTTTCGGTTTCCTCCTTGTCCTGTGTCATGTGTGTGTGCTCAGATCAGCAAGACATTTCTTTTAGTCTCTACCCTCGTGGTGTGCATATCACCAGACGCTCCGAGTGGGCGTCGTTGTGATAGTCCTTTGAGAACCACTCATCATGATGGTCCGAAGATAACGATGGGTTCAGCACGTGTGGTCGGCGATGACTAAAGACTATGGGACGCGTTCCACACCTGACCATGCGCTACACTTTGAAATGGCCGGGGTGGACATACACATGCAGTCAGCGAGTGACTAGAGAACCGGGGCTGAGGAGAGAGTAATGACCTGACAACGATGTAAAATTGGCTTTACCGACAGGGTGACCGGGAACAAGCTCGTGCCTCGCGGTAACGAGTGCGTGGACATCAAGGAAGGCGCAACCATGAACGTCGTCGAGTACAACGACTGCGAGGACCAGCGGGACGTGGAGTCAGGGTGCTACGACTCCAGGGGAAACGAGAACACCTTCAGGTACTCACGTTTCGTTGGATTGGTGTTTGGACTCGAACGGGGCAGGTTACAACGTCCTTCTCTATCGTAGGAAAGTGCGGGTGGAGGACACATACATGAGGATCGTTTCTATTGAGTACGAAGTTGTCGACAACGACAACCAACGGCCGACAGAAACACCTCCTACCGAAACAACAGCCAAAGACTGCTTCCGCCGCTCTCATGTCTGAATTTGGTGCCAGGTACAACACGGCCGAGAATTGCCTTGGCGGTGGAATCCGTCTGGGAGGTCACGAAATCGATGGCATCACTTACGGTGTCGACAACCACGTGAGTGCCAGCACCTCTCTGCCCTGTTGAATTTGCGGCACCCCCTCCACACACACGCGAGTCGTAGCGGTAGACATGTTCGGACCCCGGAGAATCCTCTCAAATCCAATGGTTCTCATCTTTGTCCGCTCCCTCTACGCGAACGAGGCCGTTCTCTTGAAGGCGACGGAAAGTGTAGATTGGGGTTGGTCTGTGCGTGCGTATGCTTGTGGTACTACTGCCTAAGGGGGATCATTGCCATCATCATCATCTGCTGCTGCCGCTGGTGCTGGTGCTGGCGCTGGCGCTGGCGCTCGTGCTGGTCTTGTTTCTTATTTAACAACTACGCAATTGGTTTCACGCAGTATATGTGTTCATATGGATGGTAGAACCCGCGTTCCCCGGCACCTGATCCAATTCGAAATTTCAAAATCAAGCAGATGCTAGTTGCTCACACACCCGAGTTTCCCGACCCCGATCAAACAAACACCGTCCAAACAGGTCTATGGGAACTCGTTCAGAGAGACCGGTGACGGATCGATCAAGGCGAGGAGGGACCCCCAGGGGGTCATCTGCGAAAACTCGTGCGAGGACGGTGACTGTGATGTCAGCGAGGAAGGGTGCGTACGGCCAACGGGAAAAGAAGGTTGCGCGAGTAGGCAAACCGTACTGCGGGAGGCGCCGGCACCTCAATCTCATTTCCGAAGACTAGCTCGCACAAACGCATGGAAGCAGGTTGTGAACAAGAAGGTGGAAATTTGTATTCTTCCTATAACCTGTCTGGTGCATAAGGATCTGTGGCCGTCTTCTCCAAGAGCCACCCCTCCCTCCACCCCCTTTCCGCTCTTTTTCTCGTTTCCAGGGATGACGAGGAGATCGAAGACTCTTGGGACCAGGAGTGCCCGTCAAGCTTACCTTCCGTCCCTTTCATCGACGACTTGGGCACGCCGACCCTGACTCCCCCCACCCCCACTCCAACGGCCCCCACTCCGACTCCCACCTCGCCGGTGCAGTCCACGACTCCTCTCACCCCCGCTCCAACGAACCCCACTCCGACTCCCACCTCGCCGGCGCTGTCCACGACTCCTCTCACCCCCGCTCCAACGAACCCCACTCCGACTCCCACCTCGCCGGTGCAGTCCACGACTCCTCTCACCCCCGCTCCAACGAACCCAACTCCGACTCCCACCTCGTCGGTGCTGCCCGGGGCGACCTACCTCGGGTGCTACATCGATGTGAAGGACTCTGGTCGGATCTTCAGCGAGCGCATCACTGACAGGAACTACATGACCAATGAGGTTAGTTGGCATAGAGAACGTGGAAAGGCCGGCACGTGTAAGTGGGGGGCAAGATAAAGTGAGCACGTTTTAGCAGCTGCAGGGAGGGAGCCCGTGAGGGGGCAAGGGGAAGGTGAATGCAAAGGGGTGCGACGAGTGACCGCGTGAAATGTGCGAGCATATGAGAAAAATTCACGACGTTTCAAATTTTTGAAGTTAACGTTTTTGTGGAGGCTCCATATACTCAGATATAGCGCTGTGAGCACTGATTTGAAGTCAAGACAAAAAAAAAAACTCCCAGACACAACGAAACGGCACATGCACGTATCGCCGAGCGGGGCCGTCCGCTACAGGACGACTTATCATGGATCCCGACGAAGTACACGTTCCCTCGAGAGAAAGGGAGAGTTCCGTGACCAAAAACGGGTCCGCGACGCGGACCCTAGGGGCACACCGCTGCTTTACCTGAGAAATCTAAACGCTGCTTAGAACTCAGAACCCTGGCCCTTCCTGAGCACTGAAGGACGCTGGTGGCTGTGAAATCGTAGGTACACCGCCATCCTTGTTCCAGGGAGGGAAAGTGCGATAAAGTTACTAGGGCGGATCGAGCACAGCCGAAGCACTGATTTCGCCGTTTGAACCACCGCTGTGGATGGTTCACAGAGACTAATCTCCCCTACCCTCGCGTTATGCCTTCTTTCACGACGACGCGTACAACTGTGTTGTCTTTTGCGTGGCTACTACTCTTCGCCTCCCTCCTCTGTTGACGCCAAACCAAACCCGTACACAGCGGTGCATGCAAGAGTGCGAAGGCTCCCCGTACTTCGGGACGCAGTGGGGAAAGGAGGTGAGGGAACTGAACCACACTCAATGAGTTGATTTTCCTTGTTTTTCGGATCTGAGGCGCCTCCGAACCGAGATCAAGTTTTCGTCGCCCGACGAACGCTCAGCAAAACCTTTACCGCCGCTCCTCGCTCAGCGCCGTATGCTTAGCACACGACATCAATGCGTACCCACGGCGTCGTGGCCATGATAGGTGGTCCACAGTGCCAACTGTCGATCATGCTCACGAGGACGGCAGCGACGACGACGACGACGCTTCAAATTCCAAACCGCAACAGCTTCGGACAAGCCCAAATCTTCTTTCGCGTGGGGAGGGGATCGATCGATACATGCCTCGTCTCAAGCCAACAAGATGGAGGCGCTGTGAAAATTAATGGAGTGCTAGAACATCGAGCCCTGCTCTTCATTCGTGCACAAGAACTCTGTTTTGGACTGTACCTGTTCTCTCCGCTTTATCCATTCCAAACCCGGCTAACCCCTTACTTGTTAGCATGTGTCCCCGCGCGGAGCCGCCGTGGACCACCGCCGCGCTAGCGTATCGCACAATGCGTGTGTTGATATTCGTCTGCATTCCGCCACCCACTCGCTGACCTACTTTTGTCACCTCCCGTCTCATCTATCATTCCCGTGAAACCGAATGAACAAACGAAGTGCTGGTGCCCGTCGAACGGGTCCATGGAGATTGTTGACTACGAGCAGCACGGGGAGGCCCCCGAGTCCGAGTGCGACATGGCGTGCGCCGGCGCCTCGGACGAGGCGTGCGGCGGCTACGACAGGATGTCTGTCTGGTCCTATGGGACGACGTCTGTCACCGGCACCGGCTTCACGTGCGACGGGATCCAGAGGGGTGACTTCTGTTGCTCGGTAAGTGGGGTCTTTCCGTGCAAGCGGTTCTTGGTTGGCGGGTGGGTGTGTAGTGCTCGATTCGGCGTCAGCCCAAATCAAACCGCTCCGCTGCTGAAAAAGATGGTGGTATTGGTTGGATTGTGGGGGTGGGGCGGAAGGAGGCAAAGATCACCCCATCCTTCTCGGCGATTGGTTGTGGTCGTGTTCCAAATGCCCGTTTGGGATAGACCCGAGAGTACTGAAGTCTTGAAGGTTGTGCCCCGTTTCGCGATTTTCGAAGCAACACGGCTGTGTGCGGTCGCGTTGGACGCGAACAGGGTTTCTTGTTGTTGGGTGCCTGTTCTCGTACACACCTTGCTGTGCTACTTTTGTACGTGAACCTTGGACACCTGCTAAATCCACTCCGCCACTGTTCGCCATGCGACAGGCCGGGTGCGGCGAGTGCGGCGGCGATGGCTGCAGCAATCGCGGAGAGGGTTTGGACGGAGACGACTGCTGCCAGAGCGACATCGAGGACAACGGGAACATGTGCTCCGTCACCGGCAAGGCTCCTTGCATGATCGACTAAGAAACTGATCGTTAACTTCGTGTCTGGCGTCGTTCTGCAACTGCGCTCCCCGCCGTGTCACACGGTGGAACGGCGTTGATTGTTTGCTCGCGACAAGAGCATTACGTGGACCTAGAGGAACAGGGTTGTCGCCACAATACGGCGAGAAGGGGTAGGTAGGGTGGGAGGCAACCGCGCTGTACATGTTCGGAGAGCAGGAGCGGCTCTGCCTCGCGCGTCATGGTGATCGTTGTGATGGACAACCCCATGCAACCAACAGCTGGTCCGGCACACATCACCATTGGCTCTATGTTTGTTGTTATCGGGGGGGGGTAGTACAACCAATGTGATGGCTGATGTACAGTTCTTGCTGACTCTGTTGGTATTAATTGGCTACTTCCAATGTTGACTAGCCATGTACTCTTCAGCTTGTTGCCGAGTACAAGTCAGAATATGGAGCCCCTGTATTACAGTGTAGTAGCCTGTGTGGACACCCGGTTTGCATGTAATCGCTTGATATTTAGAGTTTTTGCTTGATTGTGAGTCATATTGCTCGATTATGATTATTTTGGTTGACGATCTGCTTCGGCAGTGACTTCACCCAACAACAACGACAGATATAGTAAGCGTGATGGTGGCGCTAGGGTATGTATATCTATCAATATTTCAGGCGCTCGGGAATACTCCGTAGTAAATATTTCAGAAATCTGCGTCTTGCGACAACCTGGTGGTCGATGTTTTGCATTTCCTCGGCTGCTCGGCCCAACGCCTCTGCGCAGCAATACGTTGTAGTTTTTAACAATATTGTCACCGACGATTTACTTCAAATAGTTTGAAAAGTATGCAAGATTTCTTTGATTTACCCCCGTTCGTGCGCGGTGTACGGGGCGAGATGGTGTTGCTGGTACATGCAGGTTTTGCTCGTGAGTTGGCCGCGCGAAGTGTGGATTCGTCTCATCTCCCACCGATAGTCGACTGTTTCGTACTATTGGACGGACGAGCCACCCCAAGGAGTGGAATTCGAGATCATGATGTGATTTTTCTCTATGTGAGGGTACTGCAAGAACGTTTGTAGCGTAGGGGAGGCTTATTTGATTCGATAAATGGCCCAGGGCACACGTAGGCAGCGGCGAGAGAAAAAGGAGGGGAAGGGACATTGTGGGCGTTGAAACGATCAATGGCTGGGTTGTTCCATGAATGCGTGGTCGGACAACATCGTTGTCACCTGCTTTAGTCGGCGGATGATAGACCATAAAGCTGAAAATAGCGCCGCAAAGCACGATAGGGAGTGAGGCATGTTACGGCTTGGGGATCAGGGAGAGGCCATCCCAGAATAGCATAGAACATGGAGGAAACATGCGTTAACAACGTGTACAGCAATGATCACCTGTTGTCCTATTGTTGGTGTTGAATGCGAATAGGGTATGAGCTAGGTGTTTTATTGTCGGTCAATCCTCTCTGGCAGACGCGGAGGGCAAAAAGGGTAAGATGTACGAACATGAAGTGTGACGATGACGTCTGATCCATCTCAGGTCGCTGGGGAACGAGCGCGTTATGTGAGCATCGTGATTGTCGACTGAGTGTTTGAAGCGATTTGGTCCTTCTTTCATCTGTATTGTTTGTGTGTATTATATTCCTATCTCAGTCCGGGAACATTAAATCAGCTTCATTTCAGTCTAGTAGTGGACTTGCACTTGAATCTCTTATTGTTGATTTGGTGTAATCTCGTATGCGTAGTATTACGGACACGTCCAGTAGTTTCTTGTCCTTGAGAAAGTAGGGAAGGGAGAGGAAAAGCTGGAGAAAGGTCAGAGCAATTGTTGATGGTGTAAATAAGTACTAGTGTTGAAGACTCAATCACAGCCCCAACATGAAGTGTTTGGGAGCACTAGGCAGAGTACTTAGTACTCCTAGGCAGAGTACGGATCTACTGGGTTTCCTGGGGTTACGTGGATGATATGTGTATGATGGGAATGCTGCGTTGGAATCGCCTTGTCTCCGGCATGGCTGTCATTTTCGTGTTGGGTGTGGCAGCTTCGTCTGTTCTTGGGTGCTTTTCCGAGGAGTTGGGAGTCTGTGCCTCCCGCGGAGGGATTGAGAAGAAACCAGACGTAATCCCCAACCTTGTCCTGGATGGAAAGGGCTTGATGCAAGGGAAACTGGCCTCTTTGTTGCTGTTGTCATTTCGAATGGCTCCATTGCGTATTACCTTTCTAGGCCACGCGTTGGGGAGAGAGACCCACGGAGAACGCACATCGTCTCGCCGGCACACTCAATAGGAGGCGTTAACTCTTACAGACCCGTCTCTCGCCCCACAAATAATAATACCAGCCGGGAGACTACAGCTGCAAAAGAAAAAGTCCCACAACCGACCAAGTCCCTCAATGGAAACTATTCTACAACATCTACATACATCGAGGTCGTTTTCTGGACGACTACCGTAAGGTCGACTTTCTGCTTCCCTCACCCCGGTTGTCTCGTGGCTATTGTGGTTCCGTACGTTCCGCGACCCCGGTCGCGAGGCCTCTGCTCTTTGTTCTAAGCATACGGCTTGTATGCATCCGACCGCTATTTCTCTCTCTATATATATAGCGCTCGTTCTGCGATTTCTCCCCCTGATGCTGAAGTCATCGCTCCTCCAACCGCAAGAAGTGGAATGCGTACTCCCGAGGTTTTGCCCCGACTTCGCAACCGCACGGAGGGCAGCGCTAGCTTCTTCCTACGTTATCTTTGCTCTTCGCCATCAGGTCGACGTAGACGGCACGTTTGTCGAAAGCGCTTCTATCCTGCGCTGCCCGTACCGCAGTTACGGCAGGGTGCACTCCCAGCGCAGTTGTCGTGGCTTTCTTCGTGATGCCCGTTCCACCCTGCGCCGTGGCTAGACGACGACCGAGCACGGATACGCCGCTCCATGGTAAACCGCTGCCTGCCGTCGTCTGTTCGACGCCAACGGTTATGAACACACGCACGCCGTTGAAGGTATGGGTGAAGCTCATCTGGCCACAGTCGCAAATTGCCGCGCTGAAAAAGCTGCAAACAGCAGGAGTATAGCTGGATATTGTCAGGTCTAACTACCACGAGGTGGCTAGGTCTGTTCGCCGTTCACCTGTATAGTATCAAACGGCCACGATTCGTTCGACAGAAGGGATGTCGGCGAAATAATTCAAGCAGGCTGGCATCAAGGTATGCGCCCACATGGTGATGTCCGAGACGCAATTTCACCAGGTAATGGTTCTCCCTCCGGATCGGTGTCTGGTGGTGCGACCTGAAAAGTGTTGCGATTGAGCCGTTATGAGCGCATCCGGACAAGGTGGTCCCCGTCGAGAGGAAGCGGGTCCCTATTCTCATCCACACGACCTGAAGTCACCAGCTTGGCCTCTTTTGATTGATTTCGACCTGTCCACCTACACTCTGACCTCCTGCCACAGAATACATTCACCCTTGCGAAGTTGTTGCAGTTTTTGCTTTTTTTGCGACTGGACACTTAAACTTGCGTTGTCTGCTTGTTCTCAAAGATTGAGAAACACGCCATTGCACAACTTGCAGAGCAGCAATACATGGACCGAACACTATCCACTGGCAAAATCTGGCAAGCATCACAGACCGCTCTTGCTTCACGGTCTCGACGACCTCCGCTGCCAGGTGTTTGTCCCGGAACGCCAACCCGGTGGTAATGGGCGGGGTCGCTGGAACCTGTGTGCATGGCATGAAACTCATTGGCACACGTCGTAGCGGCCAGAGATATGTACCTACACAACTTCGGCCTCCATCAGTATCTGGAGCTGCCGGCAAGGAGAAAGGCGTTCGGTGTTCAACAAACGGAGATACCTCAGTATGCGAAACGCACGGGTAATTACCTAACGCTCGATACATAAAACAATGAACCCCCCAACCACCTCGCAGTCTTTATGGGAAGTATATTGCTGACCTTTTGCAGGCGTTCTCTCAAGAGCGAGCGAGCCTCTTCTCGACGCCCGAGGGCTTCGCCACCCTCCTTGCGCTGAGTGGCAACGCTGCCTACCGTGAGAACAGAGGGTTGGCAGCAAATACCCCAAGTCATCGTTGCTACGATTGATTGTGCACATCGCCGGATGCAATAGTTGCAACAGAGTGCACGGGTGGATTGTTGCGACAGGCAACATGTGAAAATACTAAGCGAAATAAACTACCACCTACGAGGAAACCTTCCGGTCAACGAACGGTGTTTTTTCCGGCCCTAACACACGTACGGTTCGACCTTTAGCAGGGTTTCGAGGTCACGTACACACCGACTTCGACAACCGCCTCTGGATCTCTGATACGAGCTACCAGTGAGAGTTTCTGCCGTACGCGACGATAAATAGTCTACTTACCTGTTTTCTTTGTGGAACGAAAATGCTGCCTGGGCAATACTCCTAATCATACCAACCGATGGTTATACTCCGAGGTATGATGGTGTCCCAAAGAAGCCGGATTTATTCCACGTACAGACCAGTTCCATGACGGCATGTAAGCTCCGTTACGCATGGACGACGGGGAGCAGGGACTGCGACAGATGTGTACTGATGTCACGAATGCTGTTCAAAATCTTCTTCGCGGCAGCGCTCGAGGTAGTTCTGGTACGATTCAGCGAAGACGACGTCATCCTCAGGGGTCTGGTATACCTCGAGGGGGAGATTGGGATGAGGGCAACGACACCGCTGGAACAAGTCCGGAAGGCGGCGTGGGGTATGCTGTACGCCGACGACGCCGGAATCGTATCGAGATCGGCCGAAGGTCTGGCGAGGATGATGACCGTTGTCGTGGAGTGTTTGGAGTTTTCGGACTGACAGTGTCGGAGAAGGAGACTCAGACTCTCCTGATTGAAGGTGCCGGAGAATAAACCGAAGAAGGGAGCGCCGCCACCGCCACCCCCACCACCTGCGGCACCGCTGGTGATCGAAGCAGCGGGACGGATTCACGCCCAGACAGCGACGTTTCGATATCTGGGTAGTCGGGTCAGAGAAGATGCTGAACTCACGCAGAAGATCAACCAACGGAGC